AATAACAGTGATTTTGCTTTCCCAAGTTATTGGCAAGACTCTTGTCAAGATTTTCTCAACCTTGTCTTCTTCAAGGATAATTCTTCCAAGAGACTTAAGTTCATTGTTAGTGTTGTGAACCTTGTGTACATCTCTTGGATGGTTTCACCTTCCTTCATGGTGAAATTCTCATATTGAGAATACATCAATGTTCCTCTTGATCTCTTTACTTGAGGAGTTCGTTCATAGGCCATTTGTAGAGTATCCCAGATCTCCTTAGCAGTAGTACAACTTTGAATTTTGTTGTACTCGTTTGGACCTAGTCTCCACACAAGCCATTTCTTGGCCTTGTCATTCTTTTCCCATTTCTTCAAATCTTCAGCAGTACAGTCAACTCTCATCTTAGGCACATCCACTCCTTTAGCATTCTTCTTTGTGGTAGCCAGGGGACCAACAGTAACAATGTCACAAAGTTCATAGTCTTCTCCTATGATGTGGTCTCTCATCGTGTTCTTCCACCAGGAATAGTACTGGCCATTAAAGAGTGGAGGCCTAGGAGTGGATTGTCCTTCCCAGTTTCCAGGTGGTGCACTCATCTTGATCTGTTCCTAAGGTGTTAGCCTCTTCTAGGAAAATCTGCTCTGATACCAATTGATGTTTTATACTTCAATACCACACAAAAGGGGGGTGATTTATGTGGTACCCAATTTTCGCTTAACTTGATTATAAAAGGACCTAGTTTTTCTATGTGTTCCAACTACTACTATTGTGGAATAATAAATACAGAAAATAAAGAACACAGAGATTTTTACGTGGAAAACACCTGGCTCAAAAGGTGAAAAAATCATGACCTACCTTCCAGTAGGATTTTTCCAAACTCTCCACTAAAATCACTGAGCCAAAAACTGCATTTAAAAAAACTCTTTTGTAAACCTAGGATTAACTCTAATCTCGTTGTGGCACACAACCTCAACTGTTGCGACAACTTCAAGCTAACTCTAACTTGAAAACTCTAAGTACCTAATATTATTGCTTCTAAATAAGCTGAAAGGTACAATGCAAAATCACCTACTATAATTGAACTAGAATAAAAGATAGACATTTGGAACTGGTTCTTCTATCTGGTTCAAGTAGCTTCAGGTTTGCACGCTTGAATCACACATAAATTGCTTGCAAAATTGCCTTACTGTTTTGCTCTTAATTCACGTTTAACTTCTGCTTATGTGCATTACCTGTAAAAGAGAACAACACTAATATTTAAGGAGTTAGCAATTAGAGATTGACTAGGATACTGATGCTACTCTTCCATGGTGGAAGAGTTCTAGTTGATCTCATATTCTAACTCTATCCTTTTCTTAAACCATGTTCTCTTTGTGTAAGGAGTCTTTCTCCTAATCCAATATGCAACATTTTCGATTACGATCAGGAGATATCACTTTTGATAAGTTAGGTTTGTCTCCTTCATGTGCATCTCACATGTTTGAGTTGATCATAACTGTGCTTCACAATATGGACCTGATCCATGTCTGAGTTCCTTTTTCAGTCTTTAAAACTTCACCTTTACTTGGGCCAACACATATTATTATATTGTTGGCCTTAGTAAGTGTTGAAATCGACCCCTCGTCACTACTTCTTCGAGGTTAGACTAGATACTTACTGGATACATATTATTTATGTACTCACGCTACACTTCTGCACTTGAATGTGCAGGATCTGAGGCATGTGCATTTGGCTATTAGACCAGTGCGCATACTTGACTTACACCTCGAGACTTCACGGTGAGCTGCCCTCCGAGCCGTTATGCAGCAGTTGGAGCCTTCCTTATGTTATATTTTTCTGTCATTTCCTTTCAGACAATAGACTAGTATTCTTTTGTATATTCTACTAGAAGTCTAGAACGCCCATATACTTGTGACACCAGGTCTTGACACACACACACTAGTAGACTGATGATTTTGAATTTATTTTCATGATTACGATTTGCACTCATTTGCTCCCATTTAATTATTTTACATCTGCAAATTTCTAAATCTTTTAACAATGAGGAAAAGGTTATTTACTTAATAAACTTATTTAAATTAAGAACTCACTAGATTGATCAGTGTTGGCTTGCCTAACGACAGCGTTGGACGCTATCACGACTTATAATGGAATTGGGTCGTGACAACTTTAGCAAAGGTCCGAACGTGCAACCCTGGCCTTACTTTGAACCCGTTTTCCACTGCTCTACAACTTCTGTTAGTGACAAGTGGGTTTATGTATTATAATACTTAACAATTTGATAATTTTCTGATGAAATTCCAAGGTAAAAATAATTAATTTTTCCAACAATGTTGGTCAACTGAACCCCCTTCCTACAAGGTGGGTCCGCCTCTACACACAGTTATACATAGATTCACATGATATACATATTTGATACATATATGACACATATGTGATACACTATGAGATACACATATCATCTCTTTCCATATTCATCTTCTACTTCAATTTTTCAATTCAAACCACCTCAAAACTTCACTAAATTATTCCAAAATTGAGATTCAAACTTCTTAAGATGTACCCAATCTATTACAACAATACGCACTAAAAAGGCAAAAATTTGACATTTTTTTGCTACAAAAGCTAATTAGCTAATATGGATAAATTTGATATTCGTATTATTTTATGAATTGATCAATTTTTATAATAATTTACTTATGGGCGAACTTTTTTGGGAAAGTTAAATATATAGTCGTTGAGCGCTAGCTTAAGACAACCGCTTAGCCCATTAACTTTGATTGCAAATTATAGCCAAAGCATATTACATTTGCTGAAAATAATTTTAAAAAAATCCAAGACCCAGCTCACATCTTCTTTGTCTCTCCCTCTTGCTGCTTAGTGCTTCCCAAAATCTGCGGTAAACATTACATGTGAAAATGATACTAGATAGTCACTTTTAAGCATGTTATTTAAAATATATCAACAGTTTAAAATGTATTTAAAGATTATCCAATTTCGCTCAAACTTTAGGACACGACGTCCTAGAGTTTAAACATCAAAGTTCAAACTTCTGGACATCCTGTCATAAAGTTCGAAAATTATATCCAGAAGTTCGAATCTTATGTCCTGAATTTTAAATTAGCAGCTCAAAAATTCAAACTAAGTCCTGAATTTCCAAATTCAGGATACTTAATCCTAAAGTTCGGGCGAATTGGCTAATCTATAAATATATTGTAAATTATGAATATATTTTTAAATAGCAAGCTTAAAAGTGGCTATTGCTGCACTTCGCCCACATTATGTATGTATGAGCCAAAAATTATCTTAGTTACGTTTAGACTATATCAGCATTAAGAGGGCCTTCGAGGGGCGCCACGTGTCACCACTTCAACAAAAGGCATATTCAAGGTCGAAGTGATCTAACAAGAGATGAAGGCCTGGGTCGAGGAGTCAACAGACATCAAGGTCGAGGATGAGCATTCTTCTACAACAGAATAATAACGGCTAGTTTTAAGATAAGACTTTAAAGAGAATATTACAGTAAATATTCTCTGGATCGGTACTATTATGGTTTTGTGGCACATGTCCACTTATAAATAGAAAGAGACATAGTTATAGTGACATAGAGCGCTCATTTATAAGACAACACATTGACATTCTCTGAAAATTTTTTGTTTTATTATATGCATACAAAATATACCTTTTTCTTAAGATCCTTGTCTAACTTTTCTCCCACGATCCAAGGAAAATCAGAATATTCAAAGGCTCATCAATCATTCATCATTGTTAGAAAGAATACTAAAGAATCTAACCTTCTCTGGTGACTCACATGCTTTTATTTACTTAAATGCCATTCATTGTTATTTAATGTTACAATTTCATTTTTTGATCATTGAATATAACAGTGTTGTCACCATTTATTGCTACTTAGATAATACTCGTATTATCTTGCTATAAAATAGGTTAGTACATCTCTTGGATATTAATATTGGATAAGATTAACTCTATTTTATTAAAAAATCTAATTGTTCAAACCTAGATCTAAATTTTGGGTCAAACAATTTGTTGCCGTATATGAGGATTTCTTAGCTAATATTTTAATTTCCATTAGATCTACAACTTACATGATTTGCTAAACTAATGAGCCACAAAGTTTTTCTCCTTCTCTGCACGTATAGAAATTTCCATGGCAGGTAACAAAGGAAACGGAACTAGGGGGACAAGTGACGTCCCCAGTAACCTTATAAGCGCTATCAACGAGAACTATGAAACATCGGGCGATGATGTGACACCCACTGCCTCCCCCTCATTGTAGCACAACAAAACCAAATGGGAAAGGGGCTACCATGTCTACAGGAGAAGAGACACCACCTGCCGTGAAATACTATTGGTTCAAATATACCCCTCTTATGTTAAGTTTGTCCAAGGTGGACATCCAATTCTATGTGACACTGATATTTGATGAGGTGGATGCCACATGACATGTCACCTCAGCGCCCCTAATCTTTATATAAAAGATTAAAATTTAAAATATAATATTTTTCATGATAGCAATAATGGTGGCAATAGTGGTGGAGGGAAAGAAAATTTTAGTGGTGGAAAAAATATAAAAGAGAGGGGTAAAATGAGTTAGGGGCGCTGAGGGATATATTTGAATGTTATATCCAATTCAGGGGCCCTGGATTCGTTATACCCCTGGATTGGATGTCCACTTTAGATAAACTTAAAGGAAAATAAATATATTTGAACTAATAGTATAACGAGGGATATATTTGAACCGAAAGTATAATGAAAAATATATTTAAACCTTTTCTAATAATTCATGGGTATATTTGGCCCTTTTCCATTTTTGTAATACTAACATAAGTTGCCAAACAAATAGAAGAATCACGTTTGAGCTTCAAATTGTTTCACTTCTACATAAAAAGAGAAGTCCTCGTAACCCTAAATGTTTAAAACCTTTCCCTCCCTCTAACCACTTCCCAGCGNTCTACTATACCAATTAGGAAAATGCAAAATCCAAATAACCCCCTCAACTGCTATTGAGCCCCAAAGTCCCACAAATGAATAGTACCATCACTAGAACAAGCTACTATATGCCTTTCATTTGCAAGTATAGCATTTCCTTCCCCTATTCTCTCCCTTAAACTATAAAGATACACCCCATTTTGTACCGCCCAAACCCTAATAACTCCTCCCACATACATTACTGCGTACCCACTACTATTCATGCATCCAACAACTCCGCGTTGAGACGCTCCCCTCACGTTAAACCTGCATACCTCCTCTAAATCCTCTACTCGACGGACAGTGGCAACGCCCTGGCTGTCCACTGTCACGAGCAACTTGTTCGTGGCATCGAAAGATCCTACGATGAGCACTTGTTGGAAGGATCGTTCTTGGATTATCAGGCCTTGGTTTCGTAAGTTGATTACAACAAGGCGTAGGCCAGTGCATGACACGGCCATGTCTTGAGTCGTGATCCTGATACGGCCCACGAACTCGGTTAACTCGGTGAGGAGGTGCCAACCCATTACTGCTTCTGGATCGGTTAAGTCACCGCCGACGAAGATTAGCTCCTCCGTTTCACTATTCCATATGTGAAATGCACGACCCGGAACACCTGAAATAATGTCCAAAACAAAGGAGACACTTTTACATATATATATTGAAAAACTTGGATCACGGTAGGAACAATCAAATCGAAAGTACTTATTGATTTTAGCATTTATCACAATGGTAGACTAATGATAAGAAATTAATATAGGTGCAATTAATTAATTTTTTACTCTAAATACCATTTTCCTTCTTGCATATGGAGAAATGGAACAATTCTACTCTACTTTTTGACATTCTCCTTGTCCATTTTTATTAGAATCACTACTTGGTTCAACGCGTGATAATGTAAATCAAGGCATTATCATGGTTAATCTGCTTTCATCCTTTTGTCGCTCCAACTTTAACAAATATGGTTTAATTTTTTAATTTTTTGGGACAGCAAGCTAAATAGGAAGATACTTTTTCTTTTGTTTTTTCCTTAACAGTCCTAAGGAAAAGAAAAACATTGCTCAAGGAAAAGTTAATCAAGCTTCCTTTTGAAATATTACATTCCGAATTTGAAAAGCAAATAGTGTTCGACAGAACAGCTTATTATAGTAAAATTTAACACTATAATATCCTATATTCTCCATCACATTGCTTCATAATTAGTCATGATTGTACAATTTAGTTGGACAGGAATTTTAATCTGTTTTTCTCTACGTTTTAGTTTTTTGGGATAAATTAATCCACCTTTAATTAAATGTAATACCCACAAAAATCAACTTTTAGCATTACACTACGTATGTAAAAAGAAAGCACATACAAACACAAATTGCTTACGTGACCAGAAAAGAGAACAATAGACAAAGTTATGAATTCACCTGCATAGAGGCCAACCCACCACTGATCACAGCCGGTGAAGTCCACTAAAGCGCCGTCATTCACCACGTCGCCTAAGTGTGCACGGCGGGGCGGGGTGGCTCCGCCGATGACCGCCACATGTATATCACCATCTAGAGAGGCAAAAACAACGCTCTCATCGAACAAAATAATCCCGGAAACAGCTCTAGAGTACCGGCCAAGCCGGTCGCGGAGTTGGGGATGAAACGTCGATAAATGAACCCTAGTCTGTAGATGAAACAACTGAACCGACCCGTCGGAGAACCCAGCGGCTAAATGGTGATCGGCCAACGCAAGACGACGGCAAGAAAGACCATCGTTGTTGTTGTTGTCGTTGTTTGCAGGTACAAAATGGAGAGTGTGATACATGTACGTACGTTGGCGGAAATTGTTGCAAGTTTGGTGCCAGTATATGTATTCGTCGTGCCATGTTTGGCGGAGAAGGTGGCGGCGGTTCCATATTTGGAGGGTTAAATTTTGCCAGAGAAGATCGGAACGTGACACTGCTCTCCATGTTGAACACACCTGAAAATAATTTTAAGAAAATGCAAAGCTCAGCAATTTAGACTTCTAGAAATTATGCACATCTTTCATATGATATCATATTCTTTTGTCAAAATAATTTTTCCTTTATTATCTCTGTATTGTTTACATCACTAACACAAATTTGTCAAAGTAAAAAGTATTCTATGTTTTGATAAATAAAGTTACTCGAACTTTTTGGGATGAAAAATAACAAATGATGAAACAACGAATTAAACAACACAATAACAATAACAACAAATCTAGTGTAATCTCACATATGAGGTAGGAGGAAGGTAGTGCGTGCGATAACATTATCCCTACTTTGTAGAGATAGTGAGGTTATTTTTACCCTCGACTCAGCGAAGCATAAGCACAAAAGTAACAAGAAGAAAATAACAATACCACAATAACAACAAGTTCAATATAATTTAACAAGTGAGATATGAGGAGAAAAGTATTTAAGCACGCCTTATTTTTACTTTATGAAGATAGGAAAATTATTTCCTCCAGACAAACAACGAATACACCGTATAAGAAATAAGTATCCCAAAGTTGTGGTTTGCCAAATACGGACAGATTCATAGTAGTGGTAGTAGTAGCCATTTGCCATCGATAACAAACCTATAGAAATAGGTAAGGCAAAAATGAGAGCACAAGCACCAACACACTGAGAACTGTAATGAGTGAAGCTAATGCCAAGTCCATCTCAAATTATTAAAGAGTTTGACCAAAATGTTGTTTGGTTTCCAAAATCCAAGAGTTCTCAAGTCGAGGCATGCTGGAGGCTAAGACAGATGGAAAAGACATCCAAAATGGCAATCTGGAGAAGTTAAAAAAAGGAGAATAATGGAACGGCGTTTTGGGTGCTTTTAACTCTATTTCTTAGTTTTAATTTATGCAAACTTATTTTTTTTAATCTGGCTTAAAAATAAATTTAAAATAATTTAATCAATTTTGTTCTTAATGAAAAACTTTTATAATCATGCAAATATTACTACAATATATTTAAAATCATCAATTTCATAACTATATAATGTATAACAAATTACAAACTCAATTAGTATATTCACATAAATTGACAGTGAAATGGCGTAACAGCCACCTAAACTTGCACCGCGGGCATTATCCTACTATATAAACATATTACTTTTCATATTAATACATTTACTCAATCATTTCATATTAATAAATATGGATGATAAATAGGTGCAAGTTTAGGTGCCCCAACATACAGAACTTTTTGTGAGTGGTGTCGTTCATAAATAGAATAAATAAATAAATATTATTTTCCCACAAGCTGAAAGCCTTGATTCAATGGATTAGTTGAATATTATTGCCAAGGGAAATATAAGTTTGATTCTCCTTAGCCTCACATGAGTGTTTTTCGGGATGATACTCAAAAGAATAATTCGCATTTGTAAAGTTATTAAAAATAGCCACTATTTTGCTGAAATATGAAAAGTTGTAACATAATATGCGGGAATATGGAACTCCTACAGATAAACATCCATCATATTATATTGAACTCCACCTCACGAAAAGTTCCAATATTATATTGGATTATGGAGCTCTTATTTTTAAACTTTCAACATATTATGTTGGAACTCCAACAAATTATGCTAGAATCTCATGCGTAAAAATATTGAACTCCAGCATATTATCTTAGAATATTTCCAGATTATTAAGAATATTTTTGTTTAGATTTTAACTTTACATGAAAAAGTGATTAAATTTTGATAACTTTTGAAACTATGATTATTTTTTAATTATCAATTGTAAATCTAGTTATTTTTTTATTTTTCTTCTACCTTTATAAGCTCAAATACGGACTTGACCAGTGGACCAAAAAGTACTCTTTATCAAGAAAGAATATCACTATTATATTTTGCTTCATTTTTATAAAATATTAGTACAAATATTTAATATATTTTTCCGGCAAGATAAGGCTACTTCCACCCATATGTGTCCGCCCCTGCTTCACGTGACGGCCATTTGGAGAAACATGGAAAAGAGCCTTTTCGCATGTAATAGCCATGTGTGTGGCCGCAAACTCCTATATATTATATACAAATCTTCATACTATCTAACCATTCCGAGGATGTATACAAGGCATTTCTCGATATCCGCCACAGGTTGGTTTGAGAGTTGTGGCATGAATAAACTATCTAGCATAGTTCCTAGAGCACTTTTAGTGGGCGTTTTGACATAATAATTATAAAATTTCAAAACAAAATTAAATGAAAATGATAATTAAATATTAGAATTATGTTTGGACATAAATATAATTTTGAGTTGTTTTTGAACTTTTGTAAGTAATCTGAGTAAAAATTTAAAAAAAAACAGCTTTTTAAAGTTTTTTAAATGCTCGAAAAATTTCAAAATTCATCTTCAAGTGAAAATTTAAAATTTTATGGCCAAATACTAATTTAGGAAAAAATAAAAAAATTCTAGGTCTAAACGAGCTCTTAGTCTTCGGAAAATTTTCTTTTGAAAATAAAAGCAGGTTACTTTCTATTATAATTAAAAATATTTAATAATATTTTTTTTATGCTGATAATATATATAAATTAAAAGTTAGGAAAAAAGAAAGAAGAGAGAAAATCCTCGTACATATTGTAAACAAAACCAGAACATCCACAATTTTGTTTTATTCTCGTTTGCTTTTATATTAATTAAATAGAAAAACAAAATAAACAGAAAACTAAGTTAGTCAGATTTTTGAAAGAAAGAAAGAAAAATAAGACATATGTGCAGAAAATGGAAGATGCTTAAGTTAATATTTTAATAACCAAATATTACTAGGTATAAGGGTTGTCTCGTACAATGATGGGATAAATCAGGATATTTTATTGGGAAGGAGACGCTGTGGATTAACTATCCCTTCTATATAGGTTAGCTAATTCTATCATTTTATGGTAAACTTTATTTTGAAATTAGCTAATATATACATATAGTCAAACTTATGATAAATATGTCCCAAATTCTATCATAGGGTTATTATCCTTATCCCTTTTACCAAAAGGCATTCGGTAAAAATAGCACTGTCTAATTATTCAAAAATAGTCACTATTTTACTGCAATAGAGACCGTTCCAGCATAATATACTGGAGTTCGGTGCACCTGTATATGAACTTCCAGCATATTATGCTGGAATTCCAACACACGGAAAGTTCCAGCATAATATGCTGGAGATTCGAGCACTTGTGTATGAACTTCTAGCATATTATACTGGACCGGTATACTTTGCTAGAACTCCAGTATATTATGCTTGAGTTCTAGTGTACTTATGCTGGAACTCCATCATATTATGCTGGAGTTCCAGCATAAGTATACTTGAACTCCAGCATAATATGATGGAGTTCCAGCATAAGTACACTAGAACTCCAGCATAATATACTGGAGTTCCAGCAAGTATATCGGTCCAGCGTAATATACTGGAGTTTGGAGCACCGATGCTCCAGTCTCCAGTATACTATACTGGAGCCAGCAAAGTATACTGGTCCAACATAATATATTATGCTGGACCGATCTCTGTTGCAGCAAAATAGTGACTATTTTTTATTGACTTGGTAAACACTGGCTATTTTTGAATGATCGGTCCGAAAACTAGTTATACCGTGCTATTTTTACATTCTAACTGGTGAAGGGCATCTTTTAGCGATTGTTTGGTTAGAAAATAAGTTATTCTATATTTAATTATTTTGAGATTGGTATCACACTCTTTTATAGAGATAAAAATAATAGTACAATCTCATGATAATTAATTTCCAAATTAGTTAGTATTCTGTAATTTTATCCCAATTAAATATTGGATATACTCGTTATGTATTTAACCTATAAAGCATGCATGAAATAAGAGGAAGTAGAGGACGGTATGCAGGTAGTTGTCAGAAAAAAGAATCAGGAGGCCTACAAAAGGTTGAAAAATAGTGCAAGTAGCTAGCTGGGGTCTAAACATAGAGTATAGTAGTACTGTATTTGGTACATAATATGATCCTACTATCAGGGGAGGGGACTCAACAAGAAACACTGTCATTTCCCTTCTTTTTCTGTCACAAATCTGTCTAACAGCAAAACAGTCAGACATAATTAATTAATATCTATCTGTCAATTTAAATTTTTTTTTTCTACGTGGTAAATATTTGTTTTTAGGAAAATTGGTCTGCATTGCACAGTAAATATAATTAAATACTTTATATTCTGATTTTGTTAGATTAAGAGAATATATTCCTCCCTTTTATCTTATTTTATATGACATGTTTGAGAATACACGAATTTTGAAATAGAAAGGACTTTTAACAAATAAGTTGAATATTATGTAATATATCAAAAAAATTGCTTCAAAACATGTAATCTTAAATATGTTATGACACTCATATGACTTTGATATTATATTACGTATTTGATGTCAAATCAGTTTATATTTGATTAATTAATTTAAAAATTACTTTTGAATAATAATTAATGTTTTATCAAACTTCTAAAAAATACTTTTAAGTATATTTTTCTTAAATGTATTTTTTGGAAGAAGTTACTTTTTCCCTTTTTAAAGTGATTCTACTTCTACTCAAAAATATTTTTTTTCTTCTAATCAAACACCTTAACATTAGAAAAATATTTTTGACCCAAACAAAAAATTGACCAAATAGGCTCAAGTTTGATGCAAGGGTGAAACCCTAATATGAAGTATTTAATTAATCTTAGAAATCTTGTCGCATGCATTTTGAGATATCATTATCTTTTGGATTTGACTCCTCTCCATTTCTCTATCTCTCCATTTTCCCAAGTCTCTGTTTAAATTTGTGACAGTTGTCCTAGGTACATATTAATGGTCCAAATTTATTAACTGACTCCTAGCCTTAATCATAGTTAATATACCTTTATTTTAGGGGTAAAAATACTCTCTAACTTAAGGATGAAATCGCCATCTCCAAAAATAATATTTAAAAAAATATAAATCCTAGATGAAGATAATCATATATAGCTTCTTTTTTTCATGG